ACTACTGCTGCTACTGCTGCTGCTACTGCTACTACTGCTGCTACTACTACTACTACTGCTGCTACTGCAACTGCTACTGCTGCTACTAATACTGCAACTGCTACTACTACTACTGCTACTACTACTGCAACTGCTACTACTACTACTACTACTGCAACTGCTACTGCTGCTGCTACCACTACTGCTGCTGCTACTACTACTACTACTACTGCAACTGCTACTACTACTACTGCTACTGCTGCTGCTACTACTGCTGCAACTGCTACTACTACCACTACTGCTGCTGCTGCTACTGCTACTACTGCTACTACTACTACTACTACTGCTGCTGCTACTGCAACTGCTACTACTACTGCTACTGCTGCTGCTGCTACTACTGCAACTGCTACTGCTGCTGCTACTACTGCTACTGCTGCTGCTACTACTGCTACTGCTGCTGCTACTACTACTGCTGTTACTACTTCTACTACTACTACTACTGCCACCTCACTGTATTAATCAACCAAAGTTGTCGCAGTGACTTTTGATGTATTTGTCAAAAACACTTACTGATTAAACCATAAACTTGTGAAAAGTATTTTGTAATCCCCTGAAATGTAAGAGTCTCCGGTTGATCCGCCCGCCACAGCCCGCCGCAGCGCCACAGCCCGCCGCAGCCCGCCGCAGCCCGCCGCAGCCCGCCGCAGCCCGCCGCAGCCCGCTCCAACTCCCTTGTCTCGCTCTGGACATCTATTAATTTCTCCAGACTATGTGCAATATCTCCAGAACTCAAAGCAATCACAAAGTCTACATTTCACCACCTTTCACCCTCTTGCACCAGCCTGGGCCGGCTTTAATACCATTATTCTAATGGAGGAAAAACCTAATTTAAAGGCTCCATGCACAAGTCCTGCTCTGGGCAATGACAGGCGGGAATAGAACCAGCGGCCCCCAGTCGGCGAGATGATCTGAGTAATTCTGTGGAATGTCTGTAACGAGTTCAGATTTTCAAATTTATTCAGAACAAAAGTATAACAGCGTTTTGCTCAGAAATGAGTGAAACGGAGCGAGGCGCGAACAGAAAATGTTTGTGGCTCAACTTTTATATTCATCTGCTGCAAAATGTCTGAGTAACAAGGAGCCACTGAACCACGACTTATAAATGTAGTAATTGTTTTATTGCTTTGTCTGTTTCCAAATTAAGAAATAAATTTAACACTAGAGACAAATCTAAACGTTTATTTAAGCTTTGTTCAACCAGGAAGGTCCCACTGAGAGCTCAGAATCTCTGTCTCAGGGTTTTCCTGGTCCCGGAGAGAACGGAGGCCATTTTAACATGTTTTTAGTGTTAGCGTAGCCTAGCATTATCCATGTGTAAACTCTGGTCCATGATCATTTCCTACATGTAGGAGCAAGAGGAATGTTTAGTAAATGTCATTGAAGCAAAGATGTTGTGGCTCTACTCCCCACGGGCTCCGTTAGCGGCAAAGGAGATGGCTAATGCTAGGCTAATGCTAAAGCTAGGCTAAATCATAAATCTAGGCTAAATGCTAAATGCCTCACTCACTCGGGCTCATTACATACGTCACAGTAAACTCAGATCCAATGTTTTCAATCTGCAAAAGGAGTTAGCCCCTCCCACCTGTTAACGGAGTCAATGGAGACAATCCAGACCTTAGTTTAATTCGCTGGCAGAGCTAAAGCGGACTTAACCTGCCACCTTGTGGCGATAGGATGTAATATGTTTCACGCAGCTGCGTGATTCATGAAAAGCGTGAGTGAAGACGACAAAACGAAATGGGACCTACTGTATGAAATGAAATGAGTACAATGGTGTGGTAAGACCAAACTATTTCAAGCTTCATTATATAATAGTCTCAATACAAATCTTCATGTTAACAAATGTGAAGAGGACACGAGCCGACAGCCTGTGCAGGGAAGCGCAGTCTGCCGCTGATCCAGCCCAAAATGATCAAATTGAACCAAGACAAACACACAATAATCCGCTGTAAGAGCAATCAATCCTGTGAGCTGTTATTTGGACACACACCTAAACGACGACGCCAAACCAAGGCCGCTTGTTTACACTCAGAAATATTTGTTCTCGGTGAATACACAGACCGTGGGCTTATCCTAATCGCTCACTCGCAGCGGCGTGTAGCGTGTAGCGTGACCGACATGCGCCTCTGTGAATAGAGACAGAAGACACCGAGAGACACTCTACCGGAATAACAAGGATTTTTCAGATATTAAGTGGTAGCTGCAAAGATACGGGTGTTATTGGGATTGGCAGAGGAGCCACATGTATTGGTTTGTGGCAGAAAGAGCCGTGTTACTGAGATGACGGTGATATCTGAAAGATTTAGTCTGTGAGAAAACAGTCATGAAGCAGAACAAAGCTGAGGTCGTTCATAAATGTGACTATTGTAAATGTTTTTTACACATGTGAAAGGTGTATTCTACAACTGTCCAGCAGGAGGATCCAAGTGTTGTTTTGTCATTGAACTTTCTTAAATTGGAAATGAAAAAGTAAGTTTTAGGTAATTAATAAAAGTCATATCTGAGGAGAGGCGAGTTTTTTCACTGGAAGAATTCAGTCTAAAATCTCCCGTCTCAGTCTTTTAATAGAATGATATTAATCTACTTCTATGACATCGGACTCAGAGCAGTTTTCTACCTTTTAAAACAAAAGTATTACCCACACATTAGCTTCAATAATCCCCCAGATTAAATAAATGTACTTATGTTTATAAATCTGTGTTTGCAGAACTGAGTCTGTGCAGGGGCCACTCACCGGCTCTGATAACGGGTCACGAGTCACTGACTAGTCTCACTTTACCTGTTTCTCTTCACGATCAATAAAGTATAAATCTGTTATTATTATTATCATTATTATTATTATTATCATTATTATCATTATTATTATCATTATCATTATTATTATTATCATTATTATCATTATCATTATTATTATTATCATTATTATTATTATCATTATTATTATTATTATCATCATTATTATTATTATTATTATTACAGATTCGTCTGATATCTCCGTCTTTCACTCGACTCTTCACCTGCTGCTGTTATTCTGCTCATATTCTCCGATGCTAAAGGACAACATTTAAATACTTCTGAACCAAGTGACAGTTTATTTTATTCTATTTTATTATAAGTTAAGATAATCTTTATTGATCTCACAGAGATCGGTACATGTCACAGAGAGTGCAACATGTTAAAAAGGTTAAAAATATAGTCTTTCTTGTGTAAGGGAGACGCACATGATCTATTATTTTAATGTTCCATCCATCCATCCATTTTCTTCCGCTTCATCCGTTGCCGGGTCGCGGGGGCAGCAGTCTAAGCAGAGACGCCCAGACTTCCCTATCCACACACTTCCTTAAGGCGTTCCCAGGCCAGCTGAGAGGCATAGTCCCTCTGTGTCCTGGGTCTTCCCCGGGGCCTCCTCCCGGTGGGACGTGCCCGGAACACCTCCCCAGGAACACCTCCCCAGGAACACCTCCCCAGGGACACCTCCCCAGGAACACCTCCCCAGGGACACCTCCCCAGGGACACCTCCCCAGGGACACCTCCCCAGGAACACCTCCCCAGGAACACCTCCCCACGGACACCTCCCCAGGAACACCTCCCCAGGAACACCTCCCCAGGAACACCTCCCCACGGACACCTCCCCAGGAACACCTCCCCACGGACACCTCCCCAGGGACACCTCCCCAGGGACACCTCCCCACGGACACCTCCCCAGGGACACCTCCCCAGGGACACCTCCCCACGGACACCTCCCCAGGGACACCTCCCCAGGGACACCTCCCCAGGAACACCTCCCCACGGACACCTCCCCAGGGACACCTCCCCATGAGGCTTCCGGAACAGATGAACCACCTCAACTGGTTCCTCTTGACGTGGAGGAGCAGCGGCTCTACTACGCTGATATGGCTATTTTAATGTTATCATCTTAAATGATAGACACTGTTGGATGTGTGCGTTTGTGCCATTTCCACTGAGGACGAAAAGAAATATCTTATTTTAGAATATTGAAAAAGCAAAAAAACAAACTCAAAGGTGGAAGCAGGAGGTCAAACGCCTTTTTCACATTCTCAAACATGAAACGACAGCAAGTACAGTCTTAAGAATCATTTTTACTGATAGAATATAAAGCATCATATTTCCTCTTTAAAAACTGCAAATAGAAAGAAAAGACAGAAAAGACTTATATTTTAAATGAAAGAATAAAGCAGAGAAACTGTCATTTTGATCCAAACAGCTTCAGCCTGAGACAGAATGACATGTTTTCACTTAACCCTGCAGCGATCGCCGCTTTGTGGGTCAACTGGAAGAGCCTCCAGTAGAGTCAGAAAGTGCAAAATACCATTCATTAAAACTGGATGTAGTTTGGTTTGAAAGCCTTTTATTCACTGGAAATTGGCTCCGTGTGAGTCCGGACCCAAGGAGCCGTGTGAGTCCAGACCCAAGGAGCCGTGTGAGTCCGGACCCAAGGAGCCGTGTGAGTCTGGACCCAAGGAGCCGTGTGAGTCTGGACCCAAGGAGCCGTGTGAGTCCGGACCCAAGGAGCTCTCTACCTTTGGCTGAACCGAGAGCAGCTGGTGCTACCATTAGAATAAACAAACAGCAGCCAATGAACCGGGACCAGGTCTGGGCTTGGACTGGAGCAGGTCTGGGCTTGGACTGGGGCAGGTCCAAGGAATTAATTAAGCCGTGGTGGAAGAAGGGCTCCATTAGACAAAGCTGGACGCAAGAACTAAAGTTTATGGGCGGCACGGTGGCTGAGTGGACAGCACTCTCGCCTCTCAGCAAGAAGGTCTTGGGTTCAAATCCCGATCGGACCAGCTTTAGCATTTAGCCTAGCTTTAGCATGTAGCCTAGCATTAGCCATCTCCTTTGCCACTAACGGAGCCCGTGGGGAGTAGAGCCACAAAATCTTTGCTTCAATGACATTTACTAAACATTCCTCTTGCTCCGGCTTCAGTTTCTTGATATTTGGATTGAACCAGAACAGATTATTTTACTATCGCATTCTCCGACAAACTACAACCAGCAAATTCAGCACAAACTCTTGACGTCAACGACACCGACCTACAACACCCGCCTCCCCCGCTCTCTGATTGGTCGGAGGGGATTCAACCGAGGAAACTGCAGCCAATAGGATCAGACCCAGACGTACATGTAGGAGATGACCGTGGACCAGAGTTTACACATGGTAAGACCAGACGTACATGTAGGAAATGACCATGGACCAGAGTTTACACATGGTAAGATCAGACGTACATGTAGGAGATGATCATGGACCAGAGTTTACGCATGGTAAGACCAGACGTACATGTAGGAAATGATCATGGACCAGAGTTTACACATGGTAAGACCAGACGTACATGTAGGAGATGATCATGGACCAGAGTTTATACATGGTAAGACCAGACGTACATGTAGGAAATGATCATGGACCAGAGTTTACACATGGTAAGACCAGACGTACATGTAGGAAATGATCATGGACCAGAGTTTACACATGGTAAGACCAGACGTACATGTAGGAGATGATCATGGACCAGAGTTTACACATGGTAAGACCAGACGTACATGTAGGAAATGATCATGGACCAGAGTTTATACATGGTAAGACCAGACGTACATGTAGGAAATGATCATGGACCAGAGTTTACACATGGTAAGACCAGGTTATTGAAAACAAGACTCCTCCATGTTTTCTCTAAGTATTTCAGTTTCATATTGTGGTCCAAAGAAAGAAAAGAGAATCTTCTGAAACTAATTACATAAACAATATTTTATCTATTTTTAAGTGTGCAAAGCGTTCTTGTGTTTTGTCTCCACAGCATTTGCAGCACATCAAAAACCCTTCAATTCTAACAAAATCTACTCTTTCCCAAATATTATAGCTGTACTAACACCTCTTGAATACTTCCAGAACCCTCAGCGTGACGGCGACAGAACCATAACAAAGCTGGACGTCCCTTTCCCACCGTTCCATTTCTCGTGTGTGGCCAAATACCGTCCAACGCTACAATTTAAATCAGTATAAGTACGCTACAATTGATCAAAGTAAACGCAGTCATTTCCACTGGAGCCGAAACCCCGCGCCGCCGCCACAGCACGGCTCATTTGTACCTTTGATACCGAGAGTCAAAATGGCCTCTCCGATCCGCCGCACAAAGCAGCGGCGAGGCCTGACACACGGCGCCGTATGTGCAGACTTTCATTACTTCCATCACACAAAGAGGTCATTTCCTTTTGTGTGATTTTTTTATGCCCGTTCCCGACTGGAGATGGAGGACTCACCTTGGCTCCCAGAGACTGAAGGGCAATAACACGGACGCTCTGGGCCCATATTGAAACAGCGAGGATTAATATTCCTCAAAAGCGCGGCCATTGTTTTTGATAAATCAATTTGGGAAGCCTTCCGAGTGCAGATTAGAGACAGAGCCTGCCTGGCCCACTTTCTTCCATACCTCTCTCTCTGTCGTTCTCTCTTTCTATCTCTCTATCTCTCTCGATCTCACCTTCCTTCCCAACTGTACACGTCGTAGTTTTAATCAAGCCTCAAAGACGAAATATAGCAACCAAGGAACCTGTCCTCGTCTGAGTCGGGGATTCTCCGGCTTCTCCTCGCTCCCCTGGTCATGTCTTCATCTCTCTCTTTCTCTCTGGTCATGTCTTCATCTCTCTCTCTCTGTTTCTCTCTCTCTGGTCAAATCTCTCTCCGTCTCCCTCTCTGGTCCTCTCTCTCTCTCTGTCTCCATCTGTCTCTCTCTTCTCTCTCTCTGTCCTGTCTCCATCTGTCTCCCTCTCTCCGGCTGCCGTCTCTCTCTCTCCTCTCCCTCTCTCTCTCTTTGGCTGCCGTCTCTCTCTCCGGCCGCCGTCTCTCTCTCCCTCTCCCTCTCTCCGGCTGCCGTCTCTCTCTCCCTCTCTCTCTCTCCGGCTGCCGTCTCTCTCTCCCTCTCTCTCTCTCCGGCTGCCGTCTCTCTCTCCCTCTCTCTCTCTCCGGCTGCCGTCTCTCTCTCCCTCTCTCTCTCTCCGGCTGCCGTCTCTCTCTCTCTCTCTCCCTCTCTCCGGCCGCCGTCTCTCTCTCCCTCTCTCTCTCTCCGGCTGCCGTCGCTCTCTCTCTCTCTCCCTCTCTCCGGCTGCCGTCTCTCTCTCCCTCTCTCTCTCTCCGGCTGCCGTCTCTCTCTCTCTCCCTCTCTCTCTCTCCGGCCGCCGTCTCTCTCTCCCTCTCTCCGGCTGCCGTTGCTCTCTCTCTCTCCCTCTCTCCGGCTGCCGTCTCTCTCTCTCCGGCTGCCGTCTCTCTCTCTCCCTCTCTCTCTCTCCGGCTGCCGTCTCTCTCTCCCTCTCTCTCTCTCCGGCTGCCGTCTCTCTCTCTCTCTCTCCCTCTCTCTCCCTCTCTCTCTCTCCGGCCGCCGTCTCTCTCTCCCTCTCTCTCTCTCCGGCTGCCGTCGCTCTCTCTCTCTCCCTCTCTCCGGCTGCCGTCTCTCTCTCTCCCTCTCTCTCTCCGGCTGCCGTCGCTCTCTCTCTCTCCCTCTCTCCGACTGCCGTCTCTCTCTCTCCCTCTCTCTCTCTCCGGCTGCCGTCTCTCTCTCTCCCTCTCTCTCTCTCCGGCTGCCGTCTCTCTCTCCCTCTCTCTCTCTCCGGCTGCCGTCTCTCTCTCTCCCTCTCTCTCTCTCCGGCTGCCGTCTCTCTCTCTCCCTCTCTCTCTCTCCGGCTGCCGTCTCTCTCTCTCTCTCTCCGGCTGCCGTCTCTCTCTCCCGCTGGTTTGCTCGGCGCTGCTCTGCATACTAAACACGGCTAATGGTAAATGACAAGGAGGAAGCGAGTCTGGAGCCAGTCTGGAGCGAGTCTGGAGCCAGTCTGGAGCCAGTCTGGAGCCAGTCTGGAGCCAGTCTGGAGCCAGTCTGGAGCCAGTCTGGAGCCAGTCTGGAGCCAGTCTGGAGCCAGTCTGGAGCCAGTCTGGAGCCAGTCTGGAGGGTCGTGACGGCGAGAGCCTGAAACCATGAAACAGGCAGTTCTAACAAAAGAACCATGATGTATAGTTTTACGTCGTGTTTTTAATATTCTGTATCCAGCCAGAATCACTAAAAACAGCCAGAGTCATCAATTCATAGATGGGGAGTCAAATATAAAATGAAAACTGTAGCTTTATGGTGCGGGTCATTTATCTGATTAATTGCTCAATGATGTCTCAGTCCAGTAACTTTGTGTTTAAATCAAAGAATCATTTTATGGCAATTATAAAGATTTATTTGGACCACGGCAGAGAAGGGCCGACGTGAACTGAGAGAGCTGCAGATTTGGAAGTGTGGTCTTACTGGCTGTTTACTAATATTTAGGAGTTATAGACTTTGCTCTGCTTTAAAGTCATGTGCAGCTTCTCACAGATTCATAATTCACTTATTTTTAAGGTTAAGTCATAGATGTTTGTCCCCATAGTCGTAACCTGTCCAGTGCTACAGGGCGACAGTGGTCCTGGACACATGAGGCTCGGCTTTGATCATTTTTGACTATTTTTGACTGAAAATGTGACCTATTGTGGATGTTTTGGGGGGAGGGGGAAACCGGAGCGCACTGAGGAAACCCTAAGACCCAGACTGACATGCGGGAATTGAACCAGCAACTGTTCCATCCATTTTCTTCCCCTTAATCCATTTCTGGGTCGGGGGTGGCAGTCAGAGCTGCACCCAGTACACTTAGCACCAGCCCCTCACTGATCCTCCTGCAGGAGCTGAGTCCACAGGAGCTGAGATCTTTCGACGGGGGCTTCAGGCAAAGCGGGGCTAAGTGTCTTGCCCAAGGACACAACAACAGCAGACATCAACGGGAGTCTTGTAGTAGGTCTTGTGGTGGACTTGAACCCACAACCTTCAGGCCCAAAGGCCATTGCTCTACCAACTGAGCCACTGTCGCGCTTTTTCAGACTCTTAAAGTCTCTTCACATCATCATTCTCTCTCCAAACACAGGTGATGATAAACTACTGTGGCCACAGCTGCCCTGGGGCACACTGACAGAGGCGAGGCAACCAGTCTGTGCCATCCAACCACCACCACCAACCATTCACACACACTAAATTCATTCTAATGTGGGGGAAGTGTTTTGCCTAAGGACACAACAGCAGACATCAGTGGAGTCGGTGAATAAAGTCTTGTTGTGGACTCGAACCCACAACCTTCAGACTCAAAGGACAATACTCTAAAACTGAGCCACTGTCGTCAAATATACATCAATGCTAAAAATGTTCTATAGCTTATGCTCCACACCATATATGGGCATGAGCCATAAATAAATAATAATAATAATAACATTACCCACAAATAGCTGAGACATAAACCCTCCCATAGAACCCCCGCTGTGAGCGAGGCCCAGAAACTGCACAACAGCTCTGATCCCCGCTGTCCGCCATTTTCTCAGACACAGCCGCAGCTCAGACACAGACGTCCTCAGACACAGACGCAGCTCAGACACAGACGTCCTCAGACACAGACGTCCTCAGACACAGACGTCCTCAGACACAGACGCAGCTCAGACACAGACGTCCTCAGACACAGACGCAGCTCAGACAGACGCAGCTCAGACACAGACGTCCTCAGACACAGACGTCCTCAGACACAGACGTCCTCAGACACAGACGTCCTCAGACACAGACGCAGCTCAGACACAGACGTCCTCAGACACAGACGTCCTCAGACACAGACGCAGCTCAGACACAGACGTCCTCAGACACAGACGCAGCTCAGACACAGACGTCCTCAGACACAGACGCAGCTCAGACAGACGCAGCTCAGACAGACGTCCTCAGACACAGACGTCCTCAGACACAGCCGTCCTCAGACACAGCCGTCCTCAGACACAGACGCAGCTCAGACAGACGCAGCTCAGACACAGACGTCCTCAGACACAGACGTCCTCAGACACAGCCGCAGCTCAGACACAGACGTCCTCAGACACAGACGCAGCTCAGACACAGACGTCCTCAGACACAGACGCAGCTCAGACAGACGCAGCTCAGACAGACGTCCTCAGACACAGACGTCCTCAGACACAGCCGTCCTCAGACACAGACGTCCTCAGACAGACGCAGCTCAGACAGACGTCCTCAGACACAGCCGTCCTCAGACACAGACGTCCTCAGACAGACGCAGCTCAGACAGACGTCCTCAGACACAGACGTCCTCAGACACAGCCGTCCTCAGACACAGACGTCCTCAGACAGACGCAGCTCAGACAGACGTCCTCAGACACAGACGTCCTCAGACACAGCCGCAGCTCAGACACAGACGTCCTCAGACACAGACGCAGCTCAGACACAGACGTCCTCAGACACAGACGCAGCTCAGACAGACGCAGCTCAGACACAGACGTCCTCAGACACAGCCGTCCTCAGACACAGCCGTCCTCAGACACAGACGTCCTCAGACAGACGCAGCTCAGACAGACGTCCTCAGACAGAGACGTCCTCAGACACAGACGTCCTCAGACACAGACGCAGCTCAGACACAGACGCAGCTCAGACACAGACGTCCTCAGACACAGACGCAGCTCAGACAGACGCAGCTCAGACACAGACGTCCTCAGACACAGACGTCCTCAGACACAGCCGCAGCTCAGACACAGACGTCCTCAGACACAGACGCAGCTCAGACACAGACGTCCTCAGACACAGACGCAGCTCAGACAGACGCAGCTCAGACAGACGTCCTCAGACACAGACGTCCTCAGACACAGCCGTCCTCAGACACAGACGTCCTCAGACAGACGCAGCTCAGACAGACGTCCTCAGACACAGACGTCCTCAGACACAGCCGTCCTCAGACACAGACGTCCTCAGACAGACGCAGCTCAGACAGACGTCCTCAGACACAGACGTCCTCAGACACAGCCGCAGCTCAGACACAGCCGCAGCTCAGACACAGACGTCCTCAGACACAGACGCAGCTCAGACACAGACGTCCTCAGACACAGCCGTCATCAGACACAGACGTCCTCAGACAGACGCAGCTCAGACAGACGTCCTCAGACACAGCCGCAGCTCAGACACAGACGTCCTCAGACACAGCCGCAGCTCAGACACAGACGTCCTCAGACACAGACGCAGCTCAGACACAGACGTCCTCAGACACAGACGCAGCTCAGACAGACGCAGCTCAGACACAGACGTCCTCAGACACAGACGTCCTCAGACACAGACGTCCTCAGACACAGACGTCCTCAGACACAGACGCAGCTCAGACACAGACGTCCTCAGACAGACACAGCTCAGACAGACGCAGCTCAGACACAGACGTCCTCAGACACAGACGTCCTCAGACACAGACGTCCTCAGACACAGACGTCCTCAGACACAGACGTCCTCAGACACAGACGTCCTCAGACACAGACGCAGCTCAGACACAGACGCAGCTCAGACAGACGCAGCTCAGACACAGACGTCCTCAGACACAGACGTCCTCAGACACAGACGTCCTCAGACACAGCCGCAGCTCAGACACAGACGTCCTCAGACACAGACGCAGCTCAGACACAGACGTCCTCAGACACAGACGTCCTCAGACACAGACGCAGCTCAGACAGACGCAGCTCAGACAGACGTCCTCAGACACAGACGTCCTCAGACACAGCCGTCCTCAGACACAGCCGTCCTCAGACACAGACGCAGCTCAGACACAGACGTCCTCAGACACAGACGCAGCTCAGACACAGACGTCCTCAGACACAGACGCAGCTCAGACAGACGCAGCTCAGACAGACGTCCTCAGACACAGACGTCCTCAGACACAGCCGTCCTCAGACACAGACGTCCTCAGACAGACGCAGCTCAGACAGACGTCCTCAGACACAGACGTCCTCAGACACAGCCGTCCTCAGACACAGACGTCCTCAGACAGACGCAGCTCAGACAGACGTCCTCAGACACAGACGTCCTCAGACACAGCCGCAGCTCAGACACAGACGTCCTCAGACACAGACGCAGCTCAGACAGACGCAGCTCAGACAGACGTCCTCAGACACAGACGTCCTCAGACACAGCCGTCCTCAGACACAGACGTCCTCAGACAGACGCAGCTCAGACAGACGTCCTCAGACACAGACGTCCTCAGACACAGACGTCCTCAGACACAGACGCAGCTCAGACACAGACGTCCTCAGACACAGACGCAGCTCAGACAGACGCAGCTCAGACAGACGCAGCTCAGACACAGACGTCCTCAGACACAGACGTCCTCAGACACAGACGCAGCTCAGACACAGACGTCCTCAGACACAGACGCAGCTCAGACACAGACGTCCTCAGACACAGACGCAGCTCAGACAGACGCAGCTCAGACACAGACGTCCTCAGACACAGACGTCCTCAGACACAGACGTCCTCAGACACAGCCGCAGCTCAGACACAGACGTCCTCAGACACAGACGCAGCTCAGACACAGACGTCCTCAGACACAGACGCAGCTCAGACACAGACGTCCTCAGACACAGACGCAGCTCAGACAGACGCAGCTCAGACAGACGTCCTCAGACACAGACGTCCTCAGACACAGCCGTCCTCAGACACAGACGTCCTCAGACACAGCCGCAGCTCAGACACAGACGTCCTCAGACACAGACGTCCTCAGACACAGCCGTCCTCAGACACAGACGTCCTCAGACAGACGCAGCTCAGACAGACGTCCTCAGACACAGACGTCCTCAGACACAGCCGCAGCTCAGACACAGCCGCAGCTCAGACACAGACGTCCTCAGACACAGACGCAGCTCAGACGCAGCTCAGACACAGACGTCCTCAGACACAGACGCAGCTCAGACAGACGCAGCTCAGACAGACGTCCTCAGACACAGACGTCCTCAGACACAGACGTCCTCAGACACAGACGCAGCTCAGACACAGACGTCCTCAGACACAGCCGTCCTCAGACACAGCCGTCCTCAGACACAGCCGTCCTCAGACACAGCCGTCCTCAGACACAGCCGTCCTCAGACACAGCCGTCCTAAGACACAGTCGTCCTCAGACACAGCCGCAGCTCAGATCGAAGAGGGTCCTACAGATGTTTACGTTTCCGTGTAGAATCAGAGCAACTGTGTGTGTGTGTGGCGCTGATGTGATTGTGCGGCGCTCACCTGATACGTGGAGACGGGGGAGGCGGCGATAAACGGCGTGATGGAGGTCTGTGCGATCATGCGGTTGGTGGCGATGCTGTACGGCGAGGAGTAGAACCTGAAAAACAAAAAGGTTGGTCTTAAACCTGAGGATCGTGTAAATATAGCACAGTGTATAACAGTGTTTTTCAACCCGTGGGTCGTGGGACGTCAGCGTGCCTCGAGATGATGTTTGTTGTGCCTTGGGACAGAGTTACAGAGTTGATTGTTTGAAATGAAAAAGGTGCGTCATGGCTCAAAAAGGTTGGGGAACACTGGTATAATAATAATAATAATAAAATAGAATATTGTTGAAAAGCCCAAAAACTTCATAGACTCACATGAAACCAATACATTAGACTTGTTACTGTGACCATTGACTGCTTTTGACCTGTTGTGGATGTTTCGGGCGGTGCGGGAAACCGGAGCACACTGAGGAAATCCTCCCAGACCTCAGAATCAGATTCATGTTTATTGTAATGAACAGGACGTCTCAGCTGGAATTTTCTTTGGTAAATGGTGTAAGTAAGACCTACTTCACGACTCCCACTGATGTCTGCTGTCGTTGTGTCCTTGGGCAAGACACTTAACCCCACTTTGCCTGATGCCCCCACTGAATAACCAAGGCCCCTGTGGACTCAGCACCTGCAGGAGGATCAGTGAGAGGCTGGTGCTCTGTGGACTGGGTGCAGCTCTGACGGCCACCCCCCAACCCAGAAATTAAGGGGGGATTAAGGGGAAGAAGATGGATGGATTAAATGGTGTAATTAATACAAAAGTAAAAGTAGTTCTGAAAGCAGGCTTTGAAAATCTTAGTAAATGGAGAAAGTATGTAAAAGACCTTGACATGGGATTTGAACCAGCAACTGTGCTCCCATTGGATGAATATTTTAATGCTTTTTCTATAATTCTGCCCTCAGACCAAGTGGAGGCTCCTACATGTGCCCCGTTCACATCATGCAGTGTCATTTATCAGTAAAACACTTGTATATAAAAACAGATTCTTCTGATGTTTTGTTACAATGTAAACTTGGATCAAAGAAAACTGCAGCCGCAAAGTCTTTCAGGAAAGATGTGGTTTTGAAGCCGCAGCGAAACTTTGGCACATACGGCTGTTTATATACAGTATCAGATAAGACAGTTTGTCCCACTGTGGGGAAATGTCAGTGTTGCAGCGCACAGACAGGACAGTGGGAAATGTCAGTGTTGCAGCGCACAGACAGGACAGTGGGAAATGTCAGTGTTGCAGCGCACATACAGGACAGTGGGGAAATGTCAGTGTTGCAGCGCACAGACAGGACAGTGGGGAAATGTCAGTGTTGCAGCGCACAGACAGGACAGTGGGAAATGTCAGTGTTGCAGCGCACAGACAGGACAGTGGGGAAATGTCAGTGTTGCAGCGCACAGACAGGACAGTGGGAAATGTCAGTGTTGCAGCGCACAGACAGGACAATGGGGAAATGTCAGTGTTGCAGCGCACAGACAGGACAGTGGGGAAATGTCAGTGTTGCAGCGCACAGACAGGACAGTGGGAAATGTCAGTGTTGCAGCGCACAGACAGGACAGTGGGAAATGTCAGTGTTGCAGCGCACAGACAGGACAGTGGGGAAATGTCAGTGTTGCAGCGCACAGACAGGACAGTGGGGAAATGTCAGTGTTGCAGCGCACAGACAGGACAGTGGGAAATGTCAGTGTTGCAGCGCACAGACAGGACAGTGGGGAAATGTCAGTGTTGCAGCGCACAGACAGGACAGTGGGGAAATGTCAGTGTTGCAGCGCACAGACAGGACAGTGGGAAATGTCAGTGTTGCAGCGCACAGACAGGACAGTGGGGAAATGTCAGTGTTGCAGCGCACAGACAGGACAGTGGGGAAATGTCAGTGTTGCAGCGCACAGACAGGACAGTGGGGAAATGTCAGTGTTGCAGCGCACAGACAGGACAGTGGGGAAATGTCAGTGTTGCAGCGCACAGACAGGACAGTGGGGAAATGTCAGTGTTGCAGCGCACAGACAGGACAGTGGGCAGAGACACAGGGAGCACACACAAAACATACAAAATAAGCAGCAGCTGTGTTTCTGTGTAGTCCGGCACATTCACTGACGCCACAGGATCAATGATGATGAATGTGCATTGTTCCAGTTCAATAAATACATAGAACCAACCTCTCTCTTTTCTTACGATTATGCAAAATTAGTTGTGGGTTTATTTGTTGAAAACCTCACTGACCCATGACACATCAGCAGGAAATGGAAAACCTTTGTACTGTACGTTTTAGATCTGTAGCTTTCATGAAACAGATTTTAAAATATATAAATCTGAATAAAAACAAGTCCAGACTAATGCTGTTTAATGGAGGGTCCGGCTTTTTAAGGAAGTAAAAAGTATGGCTTCTTTTCACTCCTCCTTCTCGTCTCAAAAGAACCGAGGAAAATAAACGGTTTTCTCGGCCATTTCTGTTTCCATTAAGACGAGCGAAACAAAAAGAGTCGGAAGAATAACTTAATCACCGCTAACAAAGTGCAGAGAGTCCATTGGTCGTTCTGTATGACGGACGTATCGACTGGACTCCTATGGCCGAGAGCAAAGTGCCAAAGACGGATGCACGGACTCGCACTTACCCGTTCTGCATCGCCGCGGGGTCGTACGTTAACGCCATCCCGGTCTGCAAGAGGAGACGGAGAAGATTAGTGACATATACAACAAATGGAAATATGCAGTGAATTAAAAGGCTGCAGGAACTGAGTCAATCCTGGTGAAAAAGGACATTGGGGCTTTTGACAGAGACGGATTGGAGCTAATGCTAATGCTAATGGGTTCAACTTGGGAGGTATTGGATTCATGATATGCCATTTTTTTACAATGATACCAAACAGGTGACACCAAAGCCACAGATATAAGCCTCGAAGTCCTTTGTTGTGATTTTTGTGTGTAAGTAAACGTATTTGTAGAGTTGTAGAATTAAAAATTGAGACCATAAGCTACATCAAGTAAACAAGACAAGAAAGGAGAGAATAAGCATCTCCTCCTAAAGCGGGCGACAAAACACATAATTCCCCATAAAAAAAATACAAATGTGAGTCACAAATGAACATTTTTCTGTCTGAAGAAGCTGCTCTAAAGATTCAGGAAGTCATTTTTAGTGTGGTTGAAAAGTTATGTAAAATGTTTATGTAATAATCTTATCTGTCATCATTAAAGGGCCCTAATCATATATTATAAGATTATAATCCGTAATTTCATTTAAAAGTTGAGCTCATTGATTCAGACTTGTCTATGGGAGAGACCTGCGGGACCGCCTCGGACTATCTGCGCCCGGACTATCTGCGCCCGGACTATCTGCGCCCGGACTATCTGCGCCCGGCGCCCGGACTATCTGCGCCCGGACTATCTACGCCCGGACTATCTGCGCCCGGACTATCTGCGCCCGGACTATCTGCGCCCGGACTATCTGCGCCCGGACTATCTACGCTCGGACTATCTGCGCTCGGACTATCTGCGCCCGGACTATCTGCGCTCGGACTATCTGCGCCCGGACTATCTGCGCTCGGACTATCTACGCCCGGACTATCTACGCCCGGACTATCTACGCCCGGACTATCTACGCCCGGACTATCTACGCCCGGACTATCTACGCCCGGACTATCTACGCCCGGACTATCTACGCCCGGACTATCTACGCTCGGACTATCTACGCCCGGACTATCTACGCTCGGACTATCTACGCTCGGACTATCTACGCCCGGACTATCTACGCCCGGACTATCTACACTCGGACTATCTACGCTCGGACTATCTACGCTCGGACTATCTACGCCCGGACTATCTACGCCCGGACTATCTACGCCCGGACTATCTACGCCCGGACTATCTACACTCGGACGACATTTGGACATGAAACCAGCTGCAGAAACGGGTAAAGCTCCTTTAACTAAACGAAGCCGGGTCACGAGTCATTCTCAAATACAAAGAATTCAAAGCCTTTTTTGATCGCCCTCTGAGATGTGTCTCTCTCTCCACGTGGGGCCTCGCTGGGGGCCGTATCTGCATTCCCGCGGTCCTGTCCCGGCGGAGCACTAATCCGATTTCTTTGCGGCAGTGTGCTGAGGCCGGCAGATTTCATCAGCACACACAGAGCTGCCCTTCTCCCCCCCAGTCCTCCCCCCTCCCCGGTGTCCCCCCCCTCCCCGGTGTCCCCCCCTCCCCGGTGTCCCACCCCTCCCCGGTGTCCCACCCCTCCCCGGTGTCCCACCCCTCCCCGGTGTCCCCCCCCCCCGTGTCCCACCCCTCCCAGTCCTCCCCCCTCCCCGGTGTCCCACCCCTCCCCGGTGTCCCCCCCCCTCCCGGTGTCCCCCCCCCTCCCCGGTGTCCCACCCCTCCCCGGTGTACCCCTCCCCGGTGTCCCACCCCTCCCCAGTCCTCCCCCCTCTACCTGCTCCTTGGTCTGATCCACACAGACTGTTCCGTGTCTTAATCTGTCCTGTCTTTGTGAAGGCTCCGTGTGTCCTTGTGTCTTCAGAGACTCTTTCTACATCTTCACCATGAACTCTGAGCCTGATGAACTCATTAAGCTCACGATGAGTGTGAGACGGAGAGACATTTACTACAGCCCCGGGTCCGGCTCAGGGTCTGGCTCAGGGTCCGGCTCAGGGTCTGGACCTTGGAGCGAGTGGGGTTTTCTTTAGGACTTGAGAGCAAATGAAATGAAAGAATGTATTATGATTATTTTTATTTTATTTAACCTTTACTGAACTAGGAAAGTCCCATTGAGACTAAGAACCCATTTCAAGGGAATCTTGGACTAAAGTTTGACAGTATAAAACATGCCAATGTGGACGTCTCAGTCTTAATCTGGATTAAAAACTTTCACTTAAATACATTCAGATCATTTCCAGTCTTTTTGCAACACACTCAGCAACACTAAACTTCTACAACAACAGAATATTTCCCGGTGGCGGTAATTAAGTAAAAATAAGCGTCAGGTCTGAGTTTGTAAAAGCACAGTTCAAGGTGAAGTAACGTATCGATGAGAAATCCACTCATCGACACGACATGTTTGTGTTTTTGCAGCTCAGACAGTTGTGTGTCAACACTGACGGCCTTCGGAGACGCACAACTCCCTCGAGTGATGCCCTTGGTGCGAGAGCTAATGGCTTTCACAGCACCACAAAGACACACAAAGACACACAAAGTCAATGGATCCTGCTTTAAGAAAACTGTATGCAGAGGTGGAAAGTACAAAGTGACATTTCCTGCCGGTAATTCCACCACTTCAGACTTCTGGACGGTTTTCAGATAATTTACTTTGACTTTGGCAAAGTTCAACAATATTTTAGCATACTTTTCCACGTAGTGTGTTTTAAAAAAGATAAATAACTCTTGTGCCCTTTATTGTGCACCTAGCTGCTCCTCTCTGCCCCAAACACCAGGAGGCGACAGAGAGACGACCCAGTGTTTTCAACCATAGGTTCTTGTCGCGTGGAAAGACTTCGCACTGATTGGAAGAGTCTGTACTCGTTTCTGTACTTTTCTTGTTCACACTGGGGACGTTTGCAGGTGTATTCCAATGGGGTTTTACTGCAAACAGCAAATAATTGAATTGGAGTCTGAGTTCTTAGTTGATTTAAAGTCTCGTCTCAAAACAAACCTTTTCTCTTCAAAACAAACCTTTTCTCTTCAAAACAAACCTTTTCTCTCTTAATCGAGAATGAGTTGATCTGACCTTGTTTGATAAACCACAAATATTATTCTATGTTACCGTTTCTAGTAGATCTACAGCACTTTGGTTTTTTTGTTGGTCTGGATTTGGCCTTTACATCCCTCCTGTAACTTTGCACTGCTGCTGTAAGACTAGTATGAATTACACAACTTTAATCTAACATGTTTCTGTTGTTATTTTGTCCAAACACAGAATGACAGAGTTAGCATCAAGCTACACGTCCACGTCTGGGTTCATTCTGTCATTCCACTCCATTTGTAAGCAAACGTTATGCTAATACGTATACTTACTAATGACTGATGCTAAATTATTCCATCTCAATGCCTACATTCTGTCTGCAGTAAAAGCTTTGGAAACACTGAATTATCAGCGTTCGTTTTAAGATTTGCTGGAGGCATCGACAACATCCTCTTCACAAATGGATTCTTAATGTCAATGTATTTTTCTAAATGCGTTTTATTCTAATGTTTCTGCACTAAACTTTATTCCTGCATGTTTTGGGAGAGTTTTCACAGGATTCTCTGAGGACGGTCTGTGTGTCTGTGCGTCTGTGCGTCTGTGCGTCTGTGCGTCTGTGCGTCTGTGCGTCTGTGCGTCTGTGGGTCTGTGGGTCTGTGGGTCTGTGGGTCTGTGTGTCTGTGTGTCTGTGTGTCTGTGTGTCTGTGTGTCTGTGTGTCTGTGTGTCTGTGTGTCTGTGTGTCTGTGTGTCTGTGTGTGTGTCTGTGTGTCTGTGTGTCTGTGTGTCTGTGTGTCTGTGCGTCTGTGCGTCTGTGCGTCTGTGCGTCTGTGCGTCTGTGGGTCTGTGCGTCTGTGCGTCTGTGCGTCTGTGCGTCTGTGTGTCTGTGTGTCTGTGTGTCTGTGTGTCTGTGTGTCTGTGTGTCTGTGTGTGTGGTGTGTCTGTGTGTCTGTGTGTCTGTGTGTCTGTGTGTCTGTGTGTCTGTGTGTCTGTGTGTCTGTGTGTCTGTAGCACACGTCTGGACAAAAGGAAACTGACGTGAGCAGGAAACCTTCTGAACACGAAAGGATCAAAGATTACCATGTGTAAACTCTGGTCTTACCATGTGTAAACTCTGGTCTTACCATGTGTAAACTCTGGTCTTACCATGTGTAAACTCTGGTCTTACCATGTGTAAACTCTGGTCTTACCATGTGTAAACTCTGGTCCATGATCATTTCCCACATGTACGTCTGGGTCTGATTCTACTAAATGAGTTGAGCTATATTTAGCCTAATTTAAGCATTTTTTGACTTTATTCAAACACAAGAAGACACTGCATCCACAAACATTAGGGATTAGCCACATTCGACCTTTTGCCTCCGACCAACGTTGTGCCTTTTTCCTCGGTCACTTCCTGGTTTCTTAGAGCACACACACACATGCACACACAAATGTACACGCACACATGTACAGACACACACACACACATGCACACACAACCGCACACACACACACACACACACACACACATAACCACACACACCCTCGTGGCCGTGTCAATCTTTCAGAGTGAGTGGAAGTCCTGATGTTTTCCCGCTCCCTGGAGTCTCCTGGAGGAGATTCCCGACACACATTCCGATCAGAAAACCATAGTTACTGATGTGTTTGTGAGCCACAGCACGTTCCACGGTTCACTTTACATAGAGCCGGGGTTTTCAGACCTTTTAACAAGAGGGCCACTTTAGCTCATTAGCCTTGTTCAGGGGCCGACAAAGTGTAAAAGTTAGGAATCCATTGTTTGTAACTGTAGTAAAGTCTGAATATGTGTCCATCTATGCTAATAAACAACTGCATTCTGAAGGAGGCGTAACATGTCTATATTGGTAAAGCTGAAGTTGGCTGGATGACACTGAACGTGTCTATGATCTCAAAGACTACTCCCAGTTAGAGGGCCACATACATTGACACAGAGGGCCGCATTTGGCCCACGGGCCTTCGTTTTGGCATGCATGACGTAGAGAGACACCTGTGGGGGAAGGTCCCGGATCCATGAGCACCTGCGCTGACTCCGGGCCTGTGGGGGTGTACCCGGAAAGAGAATTACCCAATGCTTTTGTATGGGGTCTTCTTTCCTCCCGAAAACATCTTTACAGGATGGTCCAAAGCTTAGCTTTTTAACTAACAGATCTCAGAGAGTGAAAATCAATGAGTGTTTTTCTGATGTTGTTTCTGTGAGCACTGGTTCTCCTCAGGGATGTATTTTGAGTCCTTTGCTTTTTACTTTGTACACTCACGATTGTGTGTCCTCCTCTGACTCAAACTTGATCATCAAATATGCTGATGACACCACCATCATCGGTCTCATCAGTGACACTGATGAATCCTCTTATAGAGCAGAGATACAAAATGTGGTTCAGTGGAGTCAAACTAACAACCTCCAGTTGAACGCATCCAAAACATGTGAACTGGTCACGACTTCAGTCGCAATAGTTCTCATTTGCCTGTCGTAATCGACAACTCCCAGGTGCAGATCGTAGAGGAGCAAGTTTCTGGGTTTAACTCTGTCTAACCTGAAATGGGTTAAAAACACTGACCGAGTCGTTAAGAAAGCTCGTCAGCGTCTCTACTTTTTGCGTAAACTTAGAGAATTTACCACTAACTCTAAGATTCTGCTTAACTTTTATGGCTGCACCATTGAGAGTTTACTTGTTGGTTCTGTGTCTGTGTGGTTTGGAAACATCACAGATAAAGAAAAGAGAGCTTTAAACAAGGTGCTCCGCTCTGCAAAGAGGACCGTGGGCTGTGAACTTCCTGTTCTGGAGGTTCTTTGTAAATCCACACTTTTAAACAAAGCTCTTAGGATTGTTAATGACTCTTCTGGCCACCCTGGGAAAGCCATGTTCCAGCTTCTTCCCTCTGGCAGATGATATCGTTCTCTGAGATGCAGGACATCTCGTTACGCTAACAGTTTTTATCCACAGGCTGTTATCAGTGTGAACAGAGCACTTTAATGATTTGCACTTGTTTTGAACTGTTTTAGTCGATCCATTTCACAGTGACATTTGTTTACCGTTTTATTTGTTTCATTTTTGTCTTTTAATGTTGTTTTATGTCTGTATTTGTCTGTGCACACTGGAGACTTTTGCTAATGTATTCCAATGTGGTTTTTTACTGCAAATGGCAAATAAACTGAATCTGAAATCTGAAAAGAGGTTCTTGGTCCAAAAGAGGTTCTTGGTCCAAAAGAGGTTCTTGGTCCAAAAGAGGTTCTTGGTCCAAAAGTGGTTCTTGGTCCAAAAGTGGTTCTTGGTCCTCTTCGCTCCAGATCCAGATGTTTGGGGAGTATATGTTTTTGGACCAGTCTAGTTCAGTCGCTGTGGACTTTTGAATGCACTCATTAAATGAATGGAGCTGGTGAAGCTAATAGATGCAAAAATGTGTTTTCTCACATTTTCCTGAGGGAGGGGCTGTCCGCGGCCATTTTGAAAAAGCCACAGAAGGCCAAAGTGATGTCACATTAGTTTGAACGAAGGAGAAAGGTGTGACTCTGTGTTGGTTCATATTTACAGTCTGTGAACAGTCTTCCTGCTCCTTCTCTCTCGCTCCTGAGGGATCTTCGTGTCAGTTTTCTCGGTTCTTTGGATGATCTCTTTCCATTTGTTAGAGCAGGATTTGGAAAGACTTCAAACGCACACGGCGACAAACTGGAACGCACAATGTGCGCCACGACATCAATCCCACCGTAGCATCTGAAGCATGTCCATAATTAACAGTCAGCAGCTCAGACTCGGGACGCTAGAAAAAGATCGTCGTCAGAACCGGAAAGTTGTGTTTTTTGCATGAGGAAAATCATCATTGTGAGAATTCTCGTAATATTCATGTTTTTTCTTTTGCTTGTAAACTGCAAAAGTCAATGTCTGAATGAATGGATTTGACTGGTGATGTCACATGATCTGTCAAAGAGATATTATAACTTAATTTAAACAATGTCAGATGTCCTTGATTGATCCTGTGGCACCGAGCTTTCCTTTCTCCCAACAAGGTTTTAGTCAGATTCAAAGTCTGTTTATCGCTCACTAATGTGTTACTGGACTCTCAGTCTCTTCACGTCATTATGCACTCTCTCCAAACACGGTGGTGATAAACTACTGTAGCCACAGCTGCCCTGGGGCACACTGCACTGACAGAAGCGAGGCAACCAGTCTGTGCCATTGGCCCCTCCCACCACCACCAACCATTCACACACACACCAGACTCATTCTAATGTGGGGGAAGTGTCTTGCCAAAGGACACAACCACAGTTTGGCACTTTACAGCCGCAGCCGCCCCACTGTGGCACCTGCTGCTCCCAGAGGTTAAGTGTCTTGCCCAAGGACACAACCACAGCAGACATCAGTGAAAACAGGTGAGATTATGAATCATCTTCTCACTCAACACGTTGGAATGAAGTCGCCCTGGGCCTGACATTACCTCATGAATACATTTCCGTCCTTCCTTTTGTTTTCCGCGATTGAAACGACAATTCCCACAAAGTCAACCCGGCCTAAAGCTTTGATGAGGCATAATCCTCCCCTCTCTCTCTCAATCCTCTGCTGAAATACTGGTTCAGGCCTTCATCACCTCTAGACTTGACTACTGCAAAAGCCTCCTCTTCGGTCTCCCTTCCACTCATCTTCAAAAACTACAATACATTCAGAACTCCGCCGCCCGCCTTCTCACCCACACCCGCTCCAGAGACCACATCACCCCTGTCCTCAAACAACTCCACTGGCTCCTGTCCCAGACCGCATCCAATACAAGGTCCTCCTCCTCACCTACAAGTCCCTCCATAACCTGCCCCCTCTGACCTCACTGACCTCCTCCATCATCACTGTCCCTCCCGCCGCCTCAGGTCCTCTGACTCCAACCTCCTCACTCCCCTCAGGACTAAACACCGAACCTTGGGGGACCGAGCCTTCGCTGCAGCTGCCCCCACTCTCTGGAACTCACTCCCTCAACCCGTCAGAACCTCAGACTCACTACAGAACTTTAAATCTCTCCTAAAAACCCACCTGTTTCATCTTGCCTTTCCTTAATTTTGTTTTTCAATGTTTATTTCTACATGTTTTGTAAAGCGTCTTTGAGTCTCCAAAAAAGCGCTATATAAGTTTGATGCATTATTATTATTATTATTTTTATAATTAATTAATTAATTAAATTACTTTATCCTGAAGCCCCGACCGCTCTCTCCAGACCAGAGCAGACCAAACACCACAGAAAATATGTTAGCTGTAATTGTACACGACAAAAGCATGGTTTCCACATTAAAGGGCCACGAACACAGGGGCCACGGGACAAAGCAGACAAAGAGAAGCGCTCATAGACGGAGCTGAAGGATGGCCCTGCTCTGATAAACATGTGATGGTTATCTGCCTTTGCTCAGACCTCCACTGATGTCACACACAGAACAAGGAAGAGAGGAAGAGGAGAGGAAAAGGAGAGGAAGAGGAGAGGAAGAGGAGTGGAAGAGGAGGGGAAGAGGAGTGGAAGAGGAGGGGAAGAGGAGGGGAAGAGGAGGGGAAGAGGAGGGGAAGAGGAGAGGAAGAGGAGAGGAAGAGGAGAGGAAGAGGAGAGGAAGAGGAGAGGAAGAGGAGGGGAAGAGGAGGGGAAGAGGAGAGGAAGAGGAGGGGAAGAGGAGAGGAAGAGGAGAGGAAGAGGAGGGGAGGGGTAATGTACATCTAAGACACTATGGAAGACTACACTGCAAAAAAATGATAAAATATGAGGTTATAACTTCTGGAGTGAGTGGTTTTTATCTTACTCTGAGTTCATTCTGACTGAGTTTAAACCAGATTCTCCAACGGGACAAAGACATTTAGTCTGATTTAAGAACTGTGTCTTTATTTCCTCATTCCAAAGAAAACATGTCTATCTTTTTAAAACAAGATCATTTTGTTTTGTCTCTCTGGGGAATCTGGTTTTAGGCTCAGTCGGAATCTGCTCAAATTAAGAAACATTTTGCCAAATTTGTGTGCCTCCTCTTCCTCTGCACCTCCTGTTCCTCTGTCAGAGCATGTATCCTAGCGTCTCCTCTGCGTGCCCTTCCCGATACAGACGGTTGCGCCTCCTCTTCCTCTACCGTGGCGGCACGGTGGCTGAGTGGTTAGCCCTCTCGCCTCTCAGCAAGAAGGTCCTGAGTTCGAATCCCGGTTGGACCAGGGTCTTTCTGAGTGGAGTTTGCATGTTCTCCCCGTGTCTGTGTAGGTTTCCTCCGGGTGCTCCGGTTTCCCCTACCACTAAAAATATGTACAATGGGTCTGGCATGCGCCTCCTGTACTGGCGACCCCCACTCCCAAAATAACAATTGTAAACCGCTTTGAGACTCCGATGTGCAGTGAAAAGGCGGTATATAAATAAAGTTTACTTACTACTACCCCTCCACTTCCTCTGCAACTCCTCTTCCTCTGCATCTCCTCTCCCTTTGTCAGAACCCTATCTCCTCGCGCCTCCTCTGCGCCTCCTCTCCCTCTGTCAGACCCTGTATCCTGGCCCCTCCTCTGGGTGCCCTTCCCGATATAGACTGTTGCGCCTCCACTTCCTCTGCGCCTCCACTTCCTTTGCACCTCCTCTGCACCTCCTCTCCCTCTGTCAGACCCTGTATCCTCGCGCCTCCTCTGCACCTCCTCTCCCTCTGTCAGACCCTGTATCCTGGCGCCTCCTCTGCACCTCCTCTCCGTCTGTCAGACCCTGTATCCTCGCCCCCTCCTCCTCTGCACCTCCTCTCCCTCTGTCAGACCCTGTATCCTGCGCGCCTCCTCTGCACCTCCTCTCCCTCTGTCAGACCCTGTATCCTGCGCCTCCTCTGCACCTCCTCTCCCTCTGTCAGACCCTGTATCCTGGCGCCTCCTCTGCACCTCCTCTCCCTCTGTCAGACCCTGTATCCTGGCGCCTCCTCTGCACCTCCTCTCCGTCTGTCAGACCCTGTATCCTCGCGCCTCCTCTGCACCTCCTCTCCCTCTGTCAGACCCTGTATCCTGGCGCCTCCTCTGCACCTCCTCTCCCTCTGTCAGACCCTGTATCCTGGCGCCTCCTCTGCACCTCCTCTCCCTCTGTCAGACCCTGTATCCTGGCGCCTCCTCTGCACCTCCTCTCCCTCTCTGTCAGACCCTGTATCCTGGCGCCTCCTCTGCACCTCCTCTCCCTCTGTCAGACCCTGTATCCTTGCGCCTCCTCTGCACCTCCTCTCCCTCTGTCAGACCCTGTATCCTGGCGCCTCCTCTGCACCTCCTCTCCCTCTGTCAGACCCTGTATCCTGGCGCCTCCTCTGCACCTCCTCTCCCTCTGTCAGACCCTGTATCCTGGCGCCTCCTCTGGGTACCCTTCCCGATACAGACGTTGCTGAGACTTTGACCTTGTCTCTCTCCACGAGTTGCTGATGAGTGTTTCCACGTTCCCGAATCCAGTTTCAGCGTTCCCAGCATTCCTCGTGTGATGTGGGATAAATAAAGAAGTGATTTAGAGTCTATAGAAACAAGGGCACAGGGATCGATCCAGTGGTTCTCAAACTGCTGGACCGCGGCCAACGCTCCCTCTCTGGAAGTTAGATATTAACTTTATTATTTAACATACTAAACTAACGGCGTAAATGTTTAACAGTTATTTAGAGATTATTGTCAAACTCTGGTGAAGCCGGTTCAACTAAAGTCTGGTCTGGTCTTGGTTTAGTCTTGACTCTATGGAAATGTCTGCTGTCGTTGTGTCCTTGGGCAAGACACTTAACCTCTGGGAACAGCAGGTGCCACAGTGGGGCGGCTGCAGCTGTAAAGTGCCAAACTGTGGTGTCCTTGGGCAAGACACTTCCCCCACATTAGAATGAGTCTGGTGTGTGTGTGAATGGTTGGTGGTGGTGGGAGGGGCCGATGGCACAGACTGGTTGCCTCGCTTCTGTCAGTGTGCCCCAGGGCAGCTGTGGCTACAGTAGTTCATCACCACTGTGTTTGGAGAGAGAGGATAACGACGTGAAGAGACTTTGAGAGTCTGAAAAGCACTATAAAACCAATACATTATTATTAGTATCAAAAGTAAAAGAAATACCCCAAATAAGGGTCTAAAGGTGTTAAAATGACCCAGGGCTGGTCAAGTTAGAAAAAATAATCCAAATTCAGCTCCAAGGGTTAAACAGCATTGGGATGAGAATCAGCACCTCCAAATCTGAGGCCATGGTGCTCGACCGGAAAAAGGTGCCTTGCCCTCTCCAGGTGGGTGGAGAGGTCCTTCCTCAAGTGGAGGAGTTCAAGTATCTCGGGGTCTTGTTCACGAGTGAGGGGAGGATGGAGCGTGAGATTGACAGGCGGATCGGTGCAGCGTGCGCAGTGATGCGGTCGCTGTATCGGACCGTTGTGGTAAAGAGGGAGCAGCGTCTGCAGTCAAAGCTGTATCAGACTGTTGTGGTGAAGAGGGAGCAGCGTCTGCAGTCAGAGCTGTATCAGACCGTTGTGGTAAAGAGGGAGCAGCGTCTGCAGTCAGAGCTGTATCGGACCGTTGTGGTAAAGAGGGAGCAGCGTCTGCAGTCAGAGCTCCCTCACCTGTGGTCATGAGCTTTGGGTAATGACCGAAAGAACGAGATCGCGGATACAAGCGGTCGAAATGAGCTTCCTCCGCAGAGTGGCTGCTCCCTTAGAGATAGGGTGAGCAGCTCGGTCACACGGGAGGAGCTCGGAGTAGAGCCGCTGCTCCCTTAGAGATAGGGTGAGGAGCTCGGTCACACGGGAGGAGCTCGGAGTAGAGCCGCTGCTTCTCCACGTTTTGAGGAACCAGTTGAGGTGGCTCGGGCATCTGTTCCGGATGCCTCCTGGACGCCTCTCTGGGGAGGTGTTCCGGGCACGTCCCACCGGGAGGAGGCCCCGGGGAAGACCCAGGACACGCTGGAGGGACTATGTCTCTCAGCTGGCCTGGGAACGCCTTGGGGTCCCCCCGGACGAGCTGGAGGAAGTGTGTGTGGATAGGGAAGTCTGGGCGTCTCTGCTTAGACTGCTGCCCCCGCGACTCAATTCTTGAGTCTCGAGGCCAGACTCCTCATAGTCAGTGTGTGGATAAAGTCCTGGTTTAGACCCAAAGTCCAGCTGTGGTTTCTTCTTCATTGATTGAGTTTCATTTGTTTCATGTTAAATCCATCGAACTAAACTTAAAAACACAGAACGTACTGAAATCCGCAGGTGGAAGAGTTTGGGTCCGTTCTGAGAAGCCGTGAGCTCAGATGTGTTTGTCGTCAGACTCTGCGGGACGTTTACTGGACGTTTTCTGGGCTCGACTTATTCCCTTTAGTTACAAATTCTTCAGACGTCACAATAAATGTCAAAATACTTTAACATTTATTTTGATAACATTGGAAAGCAACAAAAAGATGAATGCGTCAGCTTTTTAAAACCGGGATGAAGGAAGGATAAATGTGACGGTGTTTTAGCCAAAGCAGCTGCTGTGCTCGGTCACCAGACATTTTATTATTTTATTATTTTATCATTTTATTATAAAGAGACAGGGCTGAAAAAGGGAGGGGTTTAAACTTCCGCTGAACGACGGTAAGAAACTACGAAAAGAATCATCAATAATAAGTTTGATTTGTATTCAGTTTGTTGACGTCTGTTGGTAACCTTGCCTGCAAGCTGAATTCTCGCGGTATTTGTGAGTTCACAAACACTCGAGAATACATCTTGTACCGCTCCCGCTTACACTTTTCGAGTCGAACCACTGGGTGTGCGAGCCAATCACGCGCCAGTCTGGGGGTTTAGGGCGGGATATCCGGGTTTGACGAAAGCAAGAAGTGCCGGGCCGAAGCAAAACAAACATGGCTACGCAGGAGGACGGACGCAAAGTCAGTTTTAGCAGAATCTCCAATTTCTTTTTTGAAAGATGAACAGCGAGAGGCGCTTTGTACATTTCTGGACGGCAACCTTGGTAGGCGGGCACACAGCGTCACTTCGCCCAATCAGCTTCAAGTATTCTGCTGCTTACCCCTCCTTTCCCCGAAAGGATTCTCCGGGAGAAATCCCAGATTGATATCGCGGAGAACGCGTTAGAGTTCTACACAATCATCAATCTGGCTTTTGCCAGGTTAGTCTGTTGGCAGAAATGCACAAAAACTACAGGGATAATTTATCTGGAATCCGGCGTAGACAGGATGCACGGGGAATTTGGGAACAGCTTTGGTGTTGGCGGGGTATGTGATCTCCGAGTGAACATTCTAGTTTGTATTGTGCGTTATCAAAGCATAACTGTATTGTTCTCTAAAACCCTCAGCGTTGGAAATAAGAATGCGCCTTGTACCCAAAACATGGGGAGAACATGCAAAAGTCCACACAGAGAGGTCTGGAGGTGGAATTGAACCCAGGACCTTCTTGCTGTGACACACAAGCTCTAACCACTGCGCCACTGTCACATTAATGTTATGTGTGTACAGGAAACAGAAACTTTCGAGGACACTTTGAAGCTTTTAAACTACAATAAAACTTGGAAATTTAAATATTGATCCGTTAAAAAGTAATTTAAATTCAGAAACATCTGAATCACAATGTAATGAAAACACAAACATAGAATTAAAAGCATAAAACCCAAACTGACAAAACGCAAGAGTCCAGAAAATACATTCCCTTCTTTACAACCCTATTGGTCCTCCCAACTGTCAATCATTCTGGTGACACGTGCTCGTCCAATCAGACCAGAGAGATTAGTTCACAAAGTGGAGAGGGCGGTTCTTTCCTAAACTTTGGATAGAATAAGCATGACCTGTTCCTTGGCCGCCCGCTCCTCTCTCGACCAATCAGGAGTGAGCTCTCTTTGCGGGTTATTAATTTGGGCTTCATCCATAAACAGGACAGTTAAGAGAAAGCCGTTATTGTGCGCTAACCAATTAAATGCGTGGCTAACGAGGTGCTTAGGCTACAAATCAATCAGCGTGTCTGCAGAGAGCTAAATGCCACGCTGACAACCAGAACGACACGGCTTTAGTCAGCTTTTCCTGGGCTACACGCCTCACTTTTAATTGGGCTGTCAAAGGCACGGACTCCAGCTGGACCCGGGACCAGAACCAACATTCCTCTGCTTTTCTCAGCGCATTAGAGACACTTAAATCACAGCTTTGAGAGTTTGCCGTAATGCTCTGTTATGAGATGAGCGAGGAGGCTGCCCTTTCAGCGGCGAGGGTGATGTCACATGAATAGGCGACAGGTTCAAAGCGGCGCCCGGGAGGAAGTGGCGTTTCAGGCCGAGGGAGACGGTACGGAGTCTGCTCAAGATATTTCATGTTTTTTATGAAGTGATTTATGGAGAAGTGAAGGAAAGGTGGAAATGATGTTGTAATAAATGTCACAGTGAAAGAGTTGAGTGTAAAATATAGAGATAAAGTCAAATACGTTCTTTAGTTTTTCTTCAGAAAGATCAAATATTGGGACTTAGATGTGTAAAGGAGGATTTTAGGAAAAGAACCGCCCTCTCCACTTTGTGAACTAAACTCTCTGGTCTGATTGGACGAGCTCGTATCACCAGAATGATTGACAGTTGGGAGGACCAATAGATGATCCACCCAGAAGTAGAAAATCCTGCTTTATACATTTATGATGTTGAGATGAAAGTATAGTTATTAGTTATCCATGTTTTTCTTTCAAATCATTTTAGGGCTCAATCCAAATAAAATTGACAGGCGCACACAGGCACACAGACATGCACACACAGGCACACACACACAGACAGGCGCACACAGGCACACACACACACACAGACAGGCGCACACAGGCACACACAGGCACACACACACAGACAGACAGGCGCACACAGGCACACACACACAGACAGACAGGCGCACACAGGCACACACACACAGACAGGCGCACACAGGCACACACACACAGACATGCACACACACACACACAAGCACACACAGACAGGCGCACACAGGCACACACACACACACACAAGCACGCGCACAGGCACACACACACACACACAGGCACACACACAGGTGTCAGAGGTCTCCCATCAGAGTAAAAACCAGGCTGTGCTCTGCTTAGCTTACACATGCAGGTCTGTATCGCCACATAAAATAAATAAATAACTGTAATAATGTATTTTTCCCCATTCCTCCCATAAATCCAGCTCCAGGAGGTGGCGCTGTGGAGCTCACCTCGCCCTCTCGGTGCCACGGCCGTCCGTTCTGAGGGTATTTGCTCTGGCTCTGGCGCTTCTTCTGTCCTCCGTCTGCAAATTTACACAGCAAAGGCTCCGTGGGGGCTGTGGAGAGAGAGACAGGGTTAGTGACTGAGAGAGAGACTGAGAGAGACTGAGAGAGAGACAGGGTTAGTGACAGAGAGAGACTGAGAGAGAGAGCGACAGGGTTAGTGACTGAGAGAG